CACACACACACACACACACACACACACACACACACACACACACACACTCTCTCTCTCCCCACCCTTCCAATCCCTACTGCTGGTCTGAAGGTAAAGGTTAGGGACAGTTGACAGCAGCTGTTATTTTTGGTCTCACCCCTCAAATGGGTACCTGGCCACTATTACAAAAGCAACTGTCCCAACCCAAACCTGTCTGCTCTCTCTCTCTCTCTCTCTCTCTCTCTCTCTCTCTCTCTCTCTCTCTCTCTCTCTCTCTCCCACTGCTTTGTTTTCTCTTTTTTAACATTCCCCCTCTACCCTCTGCTGTTTTTTCTCCACACCATCTCCTTTCCCTTGCTCCATTCTGCCTCTTCCCTCCCCTCCCTGCATCGTATTTCTCTTCTTAGACCGTTTGTTTGTATTGATGATGATGCATTTAAGCGAATGAAGGAAAGATAATTCTGTATTACAACAGATGATAATAAAGCCTAGTCTTTGGTGCTTAGACTCTAAGGGCAGATTTGTAATTGAGGGCCGTCTGCCCTGAAGAGCAGCAAGATAAATCCCCCAATAGAGTCCAGACGGGTGGTGGTGGCTGATGATTCTGCTCAGGCTGATGAGACTGATGAAGCTGATGAGACTCATGAGGCTGATGAAGCTCATTAAGCTGTTGACGCTGATGAAGGGCATGAGGCTGATGAAGCTGATGAGGCTGATGATTCTGCTCAGGCTGATGAGGTTGATGAAGCTGATGAGGCTGATGAGGTTGATGAAGCTGATGAAGCTGATGAGGTTGATGAGGCTGATGAAGCTGATGAGGGTGATGAAGCTGATGAGGCTGATATTTCTGCTCAGGTTGATGAGGCTGATGAGGTTGATGAAGCTGATGAGGCTGATGAGGTTGATGAAGCTGATGAGGCTGATGAAGCTGATGAGGCTGATGAGGCTGATGATTCTGCTCAGGTTGATGAGGCTGATGAGGCTGATGAGGTTGATGAAGCTGATGAGGTTGATGAAGCTGATGAGGCTGATGAAGCTGATGAGGTTGATGAAGCTGATGAGGCTGATGAGGTTGATGAGGCTGATGAGGTTGATGAAGCTGATGAAGCTGATGAGGTTGATGAGACTGATAAATCTGCGACGACTGGGCGGTGATGGAGAGGTGGAGGGGCGTGAAGACACGGAGACAAAAAGAGACAGCAGTAAGAAGATAACTCCCACTAGAGCTGCAATACACACACACACACACACACACACACACACACACACACACACACACACGCTGAGCAGACAGGAACACTTTTCACTGACATCTCAGCGCTGGTTAGCTGCTTCCCTCTGATGATTAACACACACAAACAAACACATGTGTCCTCGATGTGTCAGTATTTGTCAGAATGTCCAGGAGGTGTCGGCTTGTCAATGTGTCGAGATATGTGACGCTGTGTGTTTGTGCAGAAGGTTTTAGTGTTTCCAGTGCAGTGAAAGAGCAGGGATTTGAGCCATCGTTCACACCTGATATTAAACTGTGATCTGCATCTAGATATTCTATAACAAATGATGCCATTATAGTCTGTCTCAAACTGGTGATGTTTCAACCACAGACTGTATATAAGAAGTGGACGTAGTCCCCGTGACGTCACCCATTGGTTTGTTGACTTTTTTGGAGCCAGAAGTGACCATATTTGGGCGAGAGGTCTGTGCTGCAGAAGAGCAAGGCTCGGTGTGGCCAGGTACTGTTAGCATAGCACCCACAGCACCATCCCGTCACTCAAAGCGGCCACGCCCTTATTTATCATTTTAACTGGTGATTTATATGAAAATTCGGGGGGGCGATAGGTCTATAGACCAAACCCGTTTTTTGTACCAGGCTGTAAACATGTTTATTTCTGCTGTAAGGTTGGGAATTTTAACAGGGAGGTCTATGGAGATTGACTAGCTGTTGGAGCCATACTCAAGTTTCCATTTGAAGAACTGCATTTTTTACCAATACAGTAAATGTCTTTTCATTCATTTCCCAGCCCCAGAGGTTGCCACTTGGTTTCAACCAGTGGTGTATCTGTCATTCAGAGCAGGGGTTTTCAAAGTCTGACACTGTGCCATCAGGTTACTTTTTTAGCTTCTATATATTTACCATTTGGCAATTTAGCACCGTAATAACCAAACTATCGAAGCATACATGGACTATACAGCCTCTGGTTAGTGTCACAGTGAACACACAGATGGCTAACATAAACTATAGGCCGACGCCACCTTTTTTTTCTATATTTTGTATATTTATCAATTTAGATAGATTTTATCTTTGCATCTCATATAACATGACACATTGAATCTTCTAATGGGGGTTTTAAGCTTTAGTGAATCATTAAGGAACAGAAACAGCCACTTAGAAAATTCAGTGTGATGAACTTGTCGGCTTGTTCGTCATGTCGGCTAGCAGGACATTTTATTCAGCCACAAGTTATCACTGACGCACTCAGCAGTTTGGCACATTTTGTGAAAATGAAAGAAAAGTGACAAAATAACTACCAAACATACAAACTATTGGGTAGCGAGAAAGAAAAGTGCTGAAACCCATGTATCATATGGGCACCAATATGAAACATTTCACAAGGCCTTCTCTCCTTCTTCCCCTCTGTACTAAACCTTGCTCTCTCTCGCTTTCCCACTCAGTCGATGCTTCAGCCGGCCAATCAGGCCACTCGGCTGCTAATGCTAGGAAACGCTTCACCTTGCAGGGGCTTTCCAACAGGAGGTCTCTTCCAGCAGGTAACGGCCCGATGCAAGCGCTCACTTACGTGATCATCACCGTCACTGGCATCTCCGTCAACATCGTCTGTTCTTTGTCGCCTTCATATGTCATCATCGTGATAACAGTCATCATCTTGCACTTCCGCAGCATCTACCTTGCCTCTGTCCTTTCTTCAGTCTCTACTCTCCAGTCACAGAACTGCTCTTGTCCTCGTCTTTCTCCTCCTCAAATGTTGTATAGATTTCTGTGCCAGTGGGTATCTCGTAGTCTTCTCTCTGTGCGACCCACCGCTCACAGCGTGTCAGCATAATGAAGGCCACATCTCCCTCCACTCTTTCTCTGCTTTCATCTGCTCACGTCAGTAACCTCTGCATCTTCCCCGCGCTCAAACAAGGAAGCTGTGATTCAGGAAAGAGAGGGACAGAGAGCTGTTGAAGAGACAGCATATGAAGACAGGGAGACAGCAGGAGATAGACAGAATGATAGAAAGAGAGTGTCTGCCGGAGTCCTGGCACTGGTGACACCACGGCAAAGCTTAATTCTGCGATGCAGCACTGCGCTAAATGTCACCCTCTAATATTCAAGCCCCTTTTGACATTTGGAGACGTATTAACATTTTTGGAGGCCATGATTCCAAATTTGGCTTTGGTCAAATGGTAAATTTTATTTAGCTTCAATGCAGAGAAAACCAGGCCTGTATTGGAATCAGGCTTATATTAGAGACATTATTTCCTGTGTTAAGAATATATTTGATCGTAATTTTTGTTACACAGACGGTTCCGTGTAACAAAACATCTGGCGTGTCGGGTTAGTATATTGGTGAAAATGACTGTTGTTGTACAGGTGGAATAAGTAAATGTAAAGGAGGAAGACTATATGGCCAAAGGTATGTGGACATCCCTACATTTTCACAACTTTGGTAGGAAGATCTTCATTGGCCTGCACAGAGCCCTGAACCAGATCGTATCCCCCCACATCAGGGATGGACCTCAGTAATGCACTTATGGCAGAATGGGAGCAAATCCCTGAAGCCATGTCCAACATCTGGTGGAAAGCTTAATACTAGAAGAGTGGAGGCTGTTATAGAAGAAGACTATTGTGGGCAACTGTGGCTAAGTGGAGAGCAGGGCTGCCTTCAATCAGAGGACCGGTAGTTCGGTCCCCGGCTCCGCTAGTTGCATGTCGATGTGTCCTTGAGCAAGACACTTAACCCCAAAATTGCTCCCGTAGCTGTGCCTACGGTGTATGTGATAGACTCTGAATTGTAAGTCGCTTTGGATAAAAGCATCTGCTAAATGACTGTAATGTAATGTCCGTGGTTTTGAAAGATATTTCAAATTCATGCCATCCTAGCAATTTGTAATACCAGCCTCCTCTTTATCTTCTAGAAAAGCAGAAGTTTCCTTTTGCTTCTTGTAGAATGAATTCATTGTACTAGCATCTATTGGTCTATCACAGTCAATGACCAGAACATACAGAACTTAGGCATTGCTCATTATTTTAACTGAATTCTAGCCCTCAACACTAACAATCAATCATCTCATCTCTATTATAATGACTGGATATATATTTAGTCCTCATAAAGTAAGTACTCTGAGCTACACAGCCCTGAGCACTGCCCTTAGTGCTGAATGGGCTGTCTGCACTATGAGATGGAAATCAATGCAGAGTCGTTGGCAGGTGAATAGACTCACCATTAACATGAGTGCTCCCTGAGATAAGCCCAACGTGTTAGATCTCTGAAGAAAGGAGTGGAATCAACTCAACAACAGCCACTCTGTCTGCTCCGTCCTGTGAATTGTGAGCACTCTGACATTCAGACTCTGGAGTTAGAGATAGGTTCAACCTGCAGGTTTTCACATGTTAACCCCAGTCATTTACATTGATGTCAATAGGTGGCTAGTCAATTGATGTAAAACGTCCTTAGAAATAAGTGAAAGCTGCTCCACTATAATGCTGCAGGGCTGTTGGTTCGGGTACAATTGAACGTCCATGCAGAAGAGGTAGAGTGGTAAAGTCTCATTATGTGAATTGTCATCAAATTGTCATCTGCTTGATTTTGTCTAGTTCTAATCTACTAATTGTGGGAGCCCTGAGAGTCGAGTAAGAAACAAACATTCTCTTGATCGGTTTTCTAGGTCTGGTCTGGTGTTTATTATTTAAGAACAGGTGGAAGAAAGGTTTGCCTGGATCATCATGGTTTCTGTTTCTGTGAAAACAGGTGGAAACTAAGTTTAATAAGCATTTTGTTTGTTGGCAGTAGTAATACTCATTTCGGCCACAAAAGGGTGAAGTGCACCACTACCCCACATTCTTCTTCCTTGTGAGTTTTAATTGACATAACTTGCTAACAAACAATATATGTAGCTGGTGTTTAGAGTGCTCTTAATCCTCTTTAGAAGGGGTAGCCGTACACTTCAGCCTCTTATGATGGAAATGAGTACGACAGCAACAAAAACTTAAACTGATCCAAGGGAAAAAAAAATCACCTGCCAAATTAGTTTTAAGCTGTTTTCACAAATGGAAAAAGTAAAATAGAAAAATTATCCTGTTTTTTCCCCAACTGTTTCAAGGATAACAAAAAAATATGAACTTATATTAACTTAAAGATTATCCTAGCAAAACCTTTTTTTCACCTGTTAAGTCATAGACACATTTGCCTCTCAGGGATTCCATAACTAACGGCTGTTATACAAAACGTAAAACACATGCTGTGAAATCCTTTATGAATATCTGTCTTGATTACACCGGCAGCTTCTTTTTCGTTTCATCACAAAATGTGAGGCACTTTTAGCCTCTTAACAGTTTCTAATAGCCCAAAATGAACACTGAAGGGTCCGTTTGCCAAAGAAACTACAGCATACATATGTACCCTGTAGTATCATGCTATGCAGAGGTTTTTTAATTTATTTTGTGCTCAACAGCTGAAAATTCCAATAGAAACAATGTCCAATGAAAACTGTTCAGTGTGTTCTGTGTACTAAGATTAATTTAAATACTGTGTGTAGAGGAACAAAACATTCAATTCAATGAAGAAATAAGAAATATCACATAAGGTATCACTTCCAGCAGAATCAACTATCTACCAGTTAATCCTCCTCTGAAACACTTTGACCCAAAACTCCACTCAAGGCTTTACTTACTAGCTTTATATGGGGCTTTCAATTGCATCTCATCCACACAGGCTGGATGGAGTTTGCATTGGATTTATAATACAATCGTCCTTCCCTATACGACCACTTATCACGTGACCAAAGTTTCATACTTAGTTGTCATGGAGATGTGACCTCGGCAGACTCCATCCACTGAGGAAGACCTTGAGATGAGGTTGAAAGTAGGAAGTGGAACTTGAGATATTTCCTGCTTCTTCTTTTCATTTGCTTGTTGTTTCATGGATTTCACTTGTCTCTTTTGAAGTCATTTGTATTGTTTGATAAATGTCCGTTGGTATTATACTTTATTATTTAGGTGAAAAGCTGCTCTCCCCTTGTTTTTTCTTCCATTTCTAATCGTCTCTCTGACGGCTTCATCTATTTCTCTCTTCCTGTCTCCACGGCTCCTCCTCCCTCCCGTCCTCTCCGGCTGTAGAGCCTGCTACTCAGGAGGCAGTGGTCACCCGCCGCTTCTCTCTCGCCTCCTCTCTCACCTCCTCTTCTTCCTCCTCTTCCTTCGCCACACGATGCACAAAAGGTATCTGACAAAGTGTTCCGGCCTCCACGTTTTGTTATTTCTGTATTTACACTCTTAAGCACTTCACGTTCACTAAACACACAGCAGACTAATGAATGTACACAAAGTGCAGCTCAAACAGGTAGAAAACTGTTTATCACACCGCATTGCTAGATTATTAGTAGTTATTTTGGTCATGCAGTATTGAATGAAATTAAGATAATTTAATGCAAAGAAAAGGCCAGCATGAAGAAAAATATCTTCGGCTGATACCTTAAAGGACAACTGGAATTTATTTTAAAAAATCTGCTCCATCATACACATGAATCTGCTCCATCATACACATGAATGTGCTACATCATACACATGAACCTGCTCCATCATACACGTGAATCTGCTCCATCATACACATAAATCTGCTACATCATACACGTGAATGTGCTACATCGTACACGTGAATCTGCTCCATCGTACACGTGAATCTGCTCCATCGCACACGTGAATCTGCTACATCGCACACGTGAATCTGCTACATCGTACACGTGAATCTGCTACATCGCACACGTGAATCTGCTACATCGCACACGTGAATCTGCTACATCGTACACGTGAATCTGCTACATCGTACACGTGAATGTGCTACATCGTACACGTGAATCTGCTACATCGTACACGTGAATCTGCTCCATTGTACACGTGAATCTGCTCCATCGTACACGTGAATCTGCTACATCGTACACATAAATCTGCTACATCATACACATGAACATACAGCCAATCAAAGATGAGAGAACAGTGTTTAGGTAGGTTTACCTTTTCAACAAGCGCTTTGTGATTTCATACATTTTCACGTCAATCATGACCAAAACACACACACACACACACACACACACACACACACACACACTCACATTAAATCTGTAGTGAGGAAACTGTGTGTACATATAGAGTGGAGGATTTCCTTACTGCTCTGTTGAAAGTTATGAGATGTATAGACAGTAAAGCCTTTGACGAGAATGAAAACAAAATTAAAGGAAAAAGAATCTGCAAACGAGTGGACGTACATATTCTTTTTAAAAAGCAACGGTAAGGAAACAACAATTTTTATAAGCTGACATTTGGAACGCAGGGTGACATTCAAAGTGGCAGTAGAAGTGCAATTTACCATCGGAATATAGATGAGAAGTTCATTCTCAACCGGCAGAGGCAGGGGAGGAATTAGAAACACCAGAAGAGCGATATTGAAGTTTCCCCTTGAACTGTTTCCACTCAGTCTGTTCTCTGCTTTTATTGTATTTTTTCCGACTGCAGTCGGCAGTGTTTCAATAAGGTTCGACCGATGAGAACGCCGCGGGTCACGTCGGTGGTAAAATGCTCAGTGGAGTTGGGAATGTGGCTCTAGCTTTTTGGCCTCTGATTTTAATCCTCATCCAACGTGGGCACTAATATCAAGGACAATATAATACTTCACAGGTACAATAAAAGCACACACACAGCGGTACTGCTGTACCTGTGCTATACGTATGTCCTTCTTTAACATGCTTGTGTTACTCTGATTTACCAGAGGTGGCCTTGGAGGGATTCACTCATTCTTAATCTCAGCCTTATTAAAAACTAAAATATTTAAAGGTTAATCTCCTTATTTCTGTACATTTGGTACGAAGGCCCTGAAAGGCAAGTGAGAAAATGCATTTTCTAAGTCTGATCTACTTTGTTTTCTCTCCTGTGTTTATGACACATGAACAGGTGAAACATTTTTGTTGTCAGGATCCTTTTTCACTGTTTGTTGTTGTATTACTCATTGTGGTCACAAGAGGCTGAAGTGCACCACTACTCCATGTTCTAAATAGGACTACAAGCATTTAACATGAGCTGTTAACACACAACATTGTGTTTAGAGTGCATGTAGGAATTAAAACTTACCTCACAGGCCTTGTGGACAAAATGAGTATTACAATAGCAATTCAAAAATGAATTGACCTGCTACATGGATGAAAAAGGTCACTTTGTATAATGGTCCTGGAAATTCTTTCCCCTGTTCTTAGTAAGTCATAAACACAGGTGAAACATCTTAGATCAGACTTACTAAGAGATCACCAGCATTTGTTTTCTCTCTTGCCTCTCAGGGCTTCCATCATTTGGACAGTAAAAGAATGACATTCACCAAGTTAATTGGCTTTTATATAGGAAATGATTTCTCATGTCATCGAAGGAAAAGCACAGGTGTCAATAAAATGTGTATAAATGTATATTTTCTTAGGTGCGCAAGGAAATAAAACCAGTTTAAACTACGACATACTCAATTTCTGAAAATAATAATAATAATTAAGACATGGAGATAAACATTTAACAGCAAAAAAGCAGTTTTAAAATGACTGCTGCAGCGAGAACACTTTGTGTCTTCACATCTTCCTCTCTGTACCAGATGGCAATCATGGCATGAGAACTGAGACTCTCATAATGATCTGAATAGAGTCATCACGGACATTTACGAAACATACACCTATGTCTGACTGACGACAGCCTTCACTTTAACAGATGGAAGCTCAATGTTGCAGATGTCATGTCTAAAGGGGCTTTTGGATTAATGCTGTGTGTCTGCCTTCTTTTTCTAATGTCAGTATCTAATAAAGCTTCTGGTTGCATGTTCTGTCCCCCGGCCAGGTCCCCTGTCTGCTAGCATAAAGAGCAAGAGACATGAGATTAAGAGTGATCCCACTCCATTTGGTTATGAAGGTACATGAACATGCAGAGATACGTCATGTCTGTAATGTGCAGGCTCTAAGCATGCTGGGCTTCTTTGCTTTGTGTGGCATGATTTTTATGTGTGGTATGTTTTTTACGTGTGGTATGTTTTTTATGTGTGGTATGATTTTTATGTGTGGTATGTGTGTGTGCACGTGTTGTGCTTGTTCTCTTCCGTTTTTTGCCTGCTGTGTTGACTCGCGTCGTGATTTGTGATGTGACGTTTCAAAGTGCATGAGCATCAAATAAGTTTCAGATGAAGTGTGTAGGTGTGGTTTTGGTGTTGCGTTCAGGCCCATGGACTACTTGGTTTGGTGTCTGCATGAGTAGTGTTAGATAGAGAGTTTATTTCTTTTGATTGACACACCCTCACTTTTAAACGTTGTTTGTGGGTGACGATGTGGAGCGGCGATCATGATGAAAAGGATGGTATAAAGCATTTGGCTTCCCTCCAGATACTTTGCGTGGTGCTATGGCTGCAGTCAGGAAACGTCAGAGCATGACTAGCAGCACTGCTGCTGCTGGCGGCACCTCAGCCGTCCCTAGATCCACCTCGCAACCAGGTAACAGCAGAGAAGGACTCCTCTCCTACACTCCTTTGTATGCTTTGAGTTTTGATACGTTTCTGAGTTTGTTTTGGTAAATAATATTTGGCCAAGTGTTTTATTTTTCTTGTGATGTGTAGCTTCTTCTTCTTCTTCTCAAGAAATAGTTCTCCAAAACAATCTGTTGGAATGCAACCTCTAGTTCCATCTCAGCCTTTGAGTAGCCATGACCATCAAATGACTCCAAACTCAATGTGCAGCACAGTCAGAGTGTTCTGCAGCCAAATCACTGACTATGTTCACACGCACACTCATATTCCACTATTATTCAGAATATGAGAATGTTCCCAATTTAATATGGGTGATGTAAAGAGATGTTCACTTTGGATATTCTGACTGGAGTCTCTTCAGTTTAAGACATGTGATGTGGTTAGGATCCAGGGTTAACATGACTGTAGTTAAAAAGGAGGTTTTAAGAGAATGCACGGCTGCATGCACATGAATATTTTGTGCATGTGAATGTAGTCAGTGCGCCTTTTGGTCCTCATACACGAATAACAACATAGGTCATGAACCCTGTGGTTACGTTCAGACAACTAACGCATGTTGGATGAGGTTAGAGAAAGATCGTGCTCGTCATGGTTAGAAGAAGGCGCTGACTGTGCTCTAACACCATGAATCACTGCTGATGGGTGGGTGGGGCTACGGGCACAGGCTCTTCTTGCACACTAGCGCGGTTGTTGTCTTGCTTGGTGTGCTAAGCTTTGACTCAAAGTATAGAAGACGGTTGCATTTACCCAACAACTCAATCAGAAAAGCAAACAAACTCCATCCAACAGCTCAGCTTGGCCTCCTACTAACTCCTAAACAATAAAATGCAACATTGTTTGAAATCACTGTAAGAAAAGTAGGTTTTCATATCTGCTTCTGTTAAAGTTACAGCAAAGCGCAATTACAGTAGTTCTGAAATTCTTGCACACAAGCTATCATCTATTATTCCCTTTTGAAAGCAATGTTTTCATAGGAAGCTTCAAACTTGTGATTTTGGCATGAAGTCTTCCTACAGAGTCAGGAAATAGTATGAAGTATTCTATGAAGTGTGCTCGCCCACGCCTCTGCCATGCCTTTAGGATCAGTCAGCGGTAACACAGTCTGTCTGTGTGTGAGAAGCCACCACCCCTACAGAACTACTTTACCATACAACTAAACTGTACTCTCAATGACATGTTGAGGGAAGTGATCGGTCTCAGTTTGAAACAGTTTGAAACACAAAGTTAATGTTATAAACTGAAACAAAATGAAAGAAAAGCCCTACAAAATGACTTGGTCATGTTTAGGCAACAAAACAGCTTGGTCAGGTTGAGTGAAACATTGTGGTTTGGCTTGGAATGACTATGTTTGTTATGTTATTGAAGTGACTCTTGGTTTCACACAGGACATGAACGGTGGCTTCCTGGTGAATGTCCTGTTTGTTCCACCATCCATTCATCCTGACTTCCTATGATGAGAAACTTATTTGTGATACGTCAAAAACAAATGTAATCCAAGAGAAAATATGTGTCCCTTGAAACATATTTGAGAATGTAGTCTTGTTGTCTGGGAATACCATTTCTAGGAGAGCAGGCTGAGCTTTCATGATGTAAGACAAATGACTGAACTGCAGAGCGACATTGTTTTCCTGTCAATGAAGAACCATCGCCTGCCAAGTGGAATAGTAGTACCCCCCTTGTTTATGAGTACATTTGGGTGGTTAATAATGTGTATTGATTCCCTTCAGGCTGGGCCCAGAGACGGCTCCCTTCCATGGACACGGACGACTTTGAGACGATCCCCTCCAGTGCAGAGGAATCCTCCAACTCTTCAGAAGAGGAAGGCAACAATAAAAATGTAGGTGATGCTCACTTTGGCTATCATATGGCGTGAAGTTAAACCTGTATATGACCTGGAGCAATACTGGGCCTATACTTTACATAATGTATTTAATAATGAAACTGAATAAAACTCAAAGTTTAAAATGATTTTATTCTGAATTAAACCGAGACAGTTCGGTACCACTCAACATCCTGGTCCTGCTGAGTCACATCAGCTCATCACATTCTGCCGTCACTGTCCCTCCACAGCTCTCCACTCATCCCCCATTCTCTCTCCGCTCGTCCTTCACTTTCTCCTCTTTTTCAACAAAATCACCCTCTGATCCTCTGCTTAATTATTTCCCGTGGACATGTGTCTCGTTAGCAACGGGCACTGAAGGCTTGACATTTAATAAACGATGGAGGAGAGACGCAGCACAGGTCTGCTGGGTACTGCAGCCTTTCCAGATCCATTATCATCTGTGTGATGTATCGTAGATAGCCACACACACACACACACACACACACACTGAGCATGTTAGGGGCGCACACAGGGACAAACCTTTTTTACGAAATTTGCATTTTTGCAACATTTACTTGAAGTCAAATTAAAATATTTATGTTTATCAACAGAAAACTTAATTATCATTACTTACCTTCAGCTCATATAATCTGCTACAGGTGACATTTGTCATTTTAAGCAGCTAAAGCGATGGTGAGCTGGGTAGTTAAGAAACAATTTATGTGTGTCTGGGTTTAATGAATCCACTCATTCTAGCACCCTAGAACCAGATCCAAGGTGCACCTGGCTACACGCACACTTTGACTCAGTCGTTTCTCTCTGCAGGGTGACAGCGGTCGTTTCCGGGTGCAGCTGACCTACGAGTCTCGTGACGGCCGAGACCTCTCTCTGGAGGCGGGCGACCTGGTCCAGTTTGTGGAAGAAGCAGAGAGCGGACACTGGTGAGTTCCAGTCGGCTCCATGGTAGAGCTGTGGGGTGTCAGTCAGCTTGTTCCCACTCGCTCACTGGTTCCCTGACTCAGCACTATACTTGAGTGGGTCCCCATTTGCCAGTTCAAACTCGCCTCGTGTCTAAATAAAGGCACAACAACACAAACCTACCAGGTTGTTCTCAGAACAGCATCGCACAAATAAGACCAAAATAAACTGACATTGCATTATACTTTATTTAGGGCATTCGTGCTCACTCTGTCTGCCCTCAATAAACTATAATTGCAGTGCAAGTTCTCTGTTTCCACTCTCATTTGCGGAATGTGGTTTTTTTAGTCGTCCCAAGGAGTTTATATTTTTGGCTCGTGGTTCTTTGCAGAAGACTTCTCTTGTTGGATCACATTCTCTACGGCAGCAAAAGGACCACAGTTTGCCTACCAAGTCTTTCTATTCTGCTTTCTGCTTACTATCACATTTGTCCTGTAGGCCCTCTATAATCAGCATTTTGTTGTGGAAAACGCGACTTGTTAATATCTGTGTACTTGAGTCTTTACGATTGCTGTGGTGTGTTTATAAAGAGACTGGAATGAATGGAGGCTGAGGCCAGTTGTGACAGTATTCAGGTTATATTACACCCAGCTGTAGCACCCACAAAATCCATCATTTAACAATATCATCCAGCTGCAGAGCTGGAGACTAAACTGTTACAGCAATAATTGCAACCAATAAAGATAAATTGTATACATATTAGGCCTATTAAAATTGGCCAAAGATAATGTTTGAGGATTCGCTCTTAATAAACACAAAGGTTCGACCTATTCAAATGTGTATTTTTGCTCATTATGTCCCTGACACTGAGTGCGGACCTCGAGCGACGCAGCACTACAAAGCTGAACATTTGTCGGACGCCCTGTTTGTATTTATTTCTGTCGCTCGTTTTAAAAGGAAGTGGGCGAGGCACGGCTGATTGCTGAGGTTAAAATGAGGAGTCATCTATGATACCTCCTCATTTCACCACAAACACCTGAATAAGGTGTCAGCGGGCTGGAGGGAGCTTAAAGTTTCCTACTTGCCATTAGCTATACTATATGTTCCTTCCAGTAAATATGCAATATAATTAGAATAAAAAGCTTGTGTTTTCTGTTTAAAAGTGTGAATCAGAAGATAGCAAGTACTACTCTCCCATCTGTTACGTCTCCAGCCTGATCTGGAGCACACAGCTGATCGGTACGTGGTTTGTTTGCGTGACGTAACGTTTGCTGTGAGGACACCGTGTCCCTTCTCTGTGGTCGGTTGCTGTTGACTTATTCCTCGTTCAGCTTGACCTAACGTTACATTTCTTCATCTTGTTAGCTTCAATGAATGTGTTTGTGTTAAAGTCAAACCTGTGTGTCTCTGTCGTGGTCTCTGATGTTCTGTACATGAACACAGATAACAGAGTTGAATCATCCAGTGACTTGTAGCTCCTAATGTCTCTCTGGTGTACACTTGCTAATGTATTGTAGCCACTCACTAACAGTCCATTTGTCTCGGTTACATTCTCCATATTTGGAGCGTTTATGCTCCTGCACGCCGCCGTACTTCTGTACATCACCATTGTTTACAAACTGTAAGAAGATGTAGAAATAAAAACATCAGTCCACAGTAGAGGATTTAAGTGTGAGGGCCTTCTTTGCAGCGCTGCTATCTGTGAGCTTTATACTGATGGAGCATTAGCTACAGTTGGATGGGGCGGATACAACTGCCTCTACATCCTCACAAATTTATTCTATTCAAATCATTTTGAAAAAACACTTCCAGGTCATTTTTGTAAAGATCTAAACCTGCACCACTGACTGAGAGACAGCCATCACTACATGTTACAGCCTTGTTTCAGCTAGTCGCCATGTTCTGAAACTCAAGACAGTTTACAGTTCATTCGAGGGCTCAGATTGGTACAAAATGATAGATTGCACCTTTAAATATGAGTTTATGATATAGAGTATATCATCATGCAAAACACTGCATACTGAGAAAAATAGTCCTTTGTTTAATTTAAGATGACAGTATAGGTGGGTTGTAATTGTGACTGCGCTAAATTTCAGAGGTGTTCTGTTGCTCTGAAAGAAAGTACAGGCCTCAAGTTTTAAAAGTGGGTATCTGGTGGAGGAGGAGCTGACTCATTGGCCTTCACAAACAGCCCTATCAACCACCTGCAGCTGTGTTATGCTCATTTCCTGCTATGGGACAGCTCAATGGGCCATTGTGGTGTCAATGTTTCACCAGAAACCTGCTCAAATGACCCTAATAGCGCTGTGTGCTACCTGCCTCTCTGTTATTTAGAATGCACGAAGCATCCAGCTGTCAGCTCATTGAAACATTGCATCATTGTGTCCTTTTATTCATGCATCAGTTGGCCATAAAAGGATGCCGTAGCAACACATTTCTACCGAGCTTTAATTTCAATTTACAAACGGTAGCAACACCAGCGCAAATTGTGACATTTAGGCTTTAAGTCACCCTCAGCATTATTGTTTCATCATCCTCTGATTGTCTGTCCCTACTCTGTGGAGAAAGGACACAGCTGTGATTAGTTGTGATTAGATCCAGAGTGGTATGCTTAATTCAAGATGGATTTTTCAATGTCAAAATATCTCCCAGTGTTGCAGGATGACACTCACTTCAACAGTGTTTTCACTGACAGAACACAAACAGATTATGTTCTCTTTGTTAGGTGAATTTGTGAATTTTAAGATGTGCATACTAATTCACTTCTGGGTCAGATATGGAGGTGACTGATCAAGTCTCCCGAAAGTTTGTTGAAATGTTGAGGACGATTTTCCTAAGAAAAGCAGCTGCAGTCATTCCGTTCCTCTAAAGCAGTGATTTTCAACCACCAGTGTGCCGTGGGAAAATATCCAATTTCACTTAATCGGTCCAAAAAAATATAATTTAGTTGCTGCTAGTGGTGTAACGGATCACGGGTCGATGCTTGATCCGTTGTGTAATAAAGTTTTACTGCCGCTCATACTTTCTCAGGTAATACATCTCTAACTATCGATGCAGAGTGTCAGTGAAAAGATATAAAGCAGTCGTGTGTTCACGTGACAATTCAGAAGCCCCCGGCGTCATTTAAGTCACGTTTGGCTTCGATGTTACTAATAATGTCTGGATGAGGGTGGAGGACAAAAGCGTTACGGTATGTAGGCGTTGTTCAATGAGAAAGATACACGACAACGGCCATACATCGGGCATGTCCACACATATTAAGCGCCACCATCCCGGTCTGTCAGCAACGGGGTCCAAAGGCACAACAACAACAACAACTTATCATTATTAAGAAACCGTTTGTGGCAGAATCAGACCAAAGCTCTTACCAAATCTATTGGGGTCTTTATGGCTGCAGACATGAGGCCATACTCTGTTGTGGAAAACAAAAGGATTTCAAAATCTGGTTAAAGTGCTTGAGCCACGCTACGAAATCCCCTCACGCACCACTTCATTTTATCGTAGGATAGAAACTGTCTTGTCAGATTCTGAAGCATGTCTACTTATTCTTTGATCAGAGGTTAAATCAAATATCATTTTTTTTATAAAGTTCTTGTATGCCAGCTTGTATTTAGACAACATTGTAAAACCTGTGGTGTAGAACATGTTTGTATTTCTCAGGTAATGAAAATAGTATCATCCTGATATACAGGCCAGCACCCTGTAACCTCTCCACACTGCACATTTAGCCTACTGCATGACCCTGAAGAGCACTAAGCGACATAGAGAATGGACGGATGAACCTTATAATATGATGCAGTGCAGTACAACAACACCATAAGCCTCGGATATTGACTCCATCCTCTCTGAACATCGGGCTTCACAAAGGCAGCATTTGTGTTGATGATACGATGTAGTTTTGCCATGCTATCTGTAGTCATTACCCATACCATGGCCTCCCATGTTAAAAGTATGTCTTGAGTTTGGTGCGCATTAATCAGCCAGGCCCTGCTGCCCTGTTCTCTCTCTACAAGGATTCGTTTGGAACTATAATTTCATTCACTATAACATTACCATCACAGAGCAGTGGGAGGTACAACAACAGAACGCCTGACTAATAATCTACCATCAGGGGGAGGGGGCGACTGAAAACAACATGGCTAGAGATGAATAATAGATTTGTGTTTCGTTCACCAAACCACCATCATCTATGGTCTTCTCCAGGAACACAGAGCCCACTGCCTTTATGGAGAAACTCTCTCCAATCCACCGCTGAAAGGGTTTTGGTCTAACGCAGGCTCCCTGCATTTGGAAGTGACTAATACTCTTTAAGATAAAGCTCGACTTGCTTTGAATATGCTCATTTTTCATCAGCTCATTCATATTTCAGCCCTTAAAACCGTCTCCTGTCGTCTGCATCTACGGTTTTCTCATCCTCACTTGAGGAATATAAAGAATTCACAAGTTCTCCCTTTTTTCTTGAGCTTTGTTGTTGGATCAAAGTTAATGTGCACAGAATGTGATTGACGGACTGTAGCTGCGGTGTGTTTCCTGTACACCCTCTTGTACGCTGTGTGTTCATGCACTGGTATATGTCTTCGTGGATTTAGGTGCATACTTTTTGTATTTATGGATCGGCTTTACACTGCTGAACAAGCAGTAACTAACCCCTCCCAAGAGTGTGGGGCACCTTCTCCAGATGCAGGTGTTCATTTCACACCACAGCACACACACAGTCCTGGCCCTGTGTATATTTAAACACATTAGCACATGTGCGCCTCATCCTGTCAACACACATCACAGTCATAGACTGTATATAAGAAGTGGATGTAGTCACCCATTGGTTGGTGGACTGCCATTTTGAAACCGCATGTTTACCATTTTGTTTTTTTGCAACCAGAAGTAACACTAGAGGGTGGAGCTAAGTACAACTGAACGTTGAATAAGACATTTAAAGGTGACCAAAATGTTACAGTTAACTTTCCTCATGTCCAGTACAAGTGTAGTTGAAGGCTCTTCTGCATCGCTTCACCTCTCAGAGCTGGAGGTAGCGTCCTGGTGACAGCGTGAGCAGAATAAAGACGAGAGTACTTCACTCTGTGTTTTGTTTTGCACATTAGGGAGAAGAAAATCATAACCATGTCCAATATGTTTGAACTTCAAAATATGTAAATAGATAGATAGATTGATCAATTAAAAAATAAATAAATAAATCACTCGACTAATAAATTGCTATGTCATTAATTGTATCAAATATGATGATTATAAATACATGTAGGCATTAAGTAATTGATATTATGTGACATAAATTGTTTTACCTCTTTACCTTCGTATTAATATTTAACAACTCTTCCATTTAGCTTTCGGTTTTATTTACTTATTTGTTCATTTTCATGAACTTTGTTGTTATATAAATATATAAAATCATGACATTTTTTAAACATGTATTATATTTTTACATTTTTAAATGTATTTTCAAGTTGAATTACTCATTATTAAATGTATGTATTTTTCCATTTATTTATGAATGCCTTATTTTCCATTAGCATTTGTCCCTATTTAGCTGTTGAACTGCTGTGCTTATCTGACTTCATGTTAACTCCATTAAAACGTGTAAAAGGCTGAATCATTACTGCACAACGCCTCCTTTTTGTCCTGTCTACCTGTTGTCAACCATTTGAAGTCTAAAAATACTAATCAAGACTGACTGATTATAATCATGTCATCATAAATATACACATCAGAAGCATTAAAGTGCTGCATGAACTACTCCCAGTGTGTGTCCTGATGGTGCAGGATGACAGACGGCAAAACTGTCCAATCAAAGAGTTACCTGTCCGTCTGTACAGCTTCATGTTTACTCCTCCTTCCTTTGTAAAAAGTCACTGTGAACAGGAACCGGACCAGAAATAAAATGCAACAAAGTTTCATTTTGTTCTCTTGGTGTGAAATACATGCGCTTGTGTTTGACCATGAGACCTCTGGTGCACCAGTGTTCACTGTTTACATCCCTGAAGGAAATGCATTCTGTGTTTCAGGACGAGATGTTAGTCAGTCACATAGGTCTACTGCAGAGCTTCCTCCACTCTATGGGCTGTCAGGATGTTCTGTCTAAAGGCTCTCTAGAGAGCAGTCCCATCAAGACTTGCACTATATGGAAGTTATGTTGTCAGAACTTTATTTGTGTTATTTAAAACAAAAAGTTACTTTAGTTAAACATTTCCTGTTATAAAGCAATTCCCAAATAAAACAAAGTGTTACTGTTGTTGTTGACTTTGGTCCTGTCAGCCAGTGAAGACCCTGCCCTGCATTGTGTGTCATGTTCTAGGCTAGTGAAGAACGTTTTAACAGAGGAGACAGGGCGGGTCCCGTCCAGTATACTGCAGTCAGCATCTGAAGGAGGTCACTCATTAAGCACCACTGCTACTTCTGACTAACCACTGGCAGCCTTGCTGTAACGCTCTCACTCTCCCACCCACTCCTCCCTCCGCTCCTTCACTCCAACTCTGTCAGTTGCTCTCTCACTCTCTCACATGGCAGTTGGGTCGGGGGGGATTGGGAGGGCCTGGGCGGGCCGCTGCTCTGGGAGAGAGGGACCGTTGGATCGGGTTCAGGTTGGACGGAGCGGACGGGGGTGGACGAGCTTTGGCTTGTTGAGTTGGATAAGCAGAGCATGTCACTGATTGCAGCACATTCCCCCTGCTGCACTCTCCTCAGGAGGCCTCACTCTCTCTGCACTATTGATGCTGGAAGTGAACGTAGGAAGAAAGAAGTATATTTTGAGCCCAAGATTTATTATTTCAGTAGATTGTCTGACACTCTAACTGTCATTACAATGTCTTGTTTCCTCACTTTTTAAAAATTGTGTGCTCAAAGATATTTTTTGTCATATCATTGTCAAACAGCAGCCCAGTCGCCTTGGAAAAAAGTCGGCATTGTACGTTTACACAAACCAAGGATACGTAGAATGTGGATGCCTCTTTTTTATCTGGACATTTTTGCATCGAGGCAGGAAAAGTGACGTGGAGCAGCTGTTATTGAGAGTTAGATGGTATAATAACAAGTATTTAGAGCAAGAAAGTCCACTAAGGGTGGGCAAACAAATACAGGACTCTTACCCAGGTGACCACCGTTCATGTCCAGTGTGAAACCCAACGTTTAGTTTAGTTTTGTTTCGTTAACATTGCGCTTGTTAGCTAACGTTACATAAGAAAGTCGGTTGTTATTTATTTATAGTAGTTATGCTGTTAGGCTAGTTACGTTGTTGCATTACATTTTTATGGTTGTTCCGTTCTGTTGTTATTGTACATTGTTACGTTGTTATTGTGTGTTGTACATGACTATTTTAACAGAAACCATATTTCTTTCTAACCTTAACTAAGTTTTGCCGCCTTGACCTAACCAAGTGTGATACAATACAATACGTGATTTAAAAAACATATCCTTGGTTCAGAAACCACAATCCACATTCAACGTATCGGTAGTTTGCAGAAACGTACCATGTCAACATTTTTTTTATGGCAGCTGAGGTATTGTGTCATATCATTGTCAAATAATTACTGATGCCATGAGCAACCAAGAGCCCAGAAGCAAAATCAATCGATTGTATGAACACTAATATATTTACAGGGGGCTCCCGTGTTTATATGCTGAAGTTCATGGTTTTATGGTACAAAATATATTTTTTCCTACCGGACAGCCACTCCTGTGCTTTGTGCTCTGTTCTCTCGCTTCAATGTCCTCCCCTCTGTCCTCCATCCATCTCTCCACCATCTCCTCCCTTTCATGGCGGCTTGAGGGCCGGTCCATGAAGTGTTTGTTACGGCCTTGCTTGTTTTGTTACGGAGCTCTGTCCGCCCCTCTTCAAAACAAATAACCCTTCCCTCTCATCACTTGCCCTTCTTTCCTCGTCCTTTTATCTCGCTCTTCTTCTGTTTTGGAGTTCTTTCTCGTACTTGACGAGGACAGAACTCCACGCTCGAGCAGTTCATCTTTAGTATTTAAGTGGGGCCCGTTTCCAAAAGGCCCTCTTCACTTGTCTGTGTTGATTGTCCATGTCTACCTTCCCTATAATTCTTTATGCACTCTACTGTCTGATATTGTTGCAGATATTGAACACCTCACTGTTCTGACCTTCTTTTACCCTCCTATGAAAGCTGCATTGTTTGGTGTGTTTTATCGGCACTGCAGTCCTGGCTGTGCAACCCCTTAGACACTGTGTTTGAATGCCACAGCTTGTCCACATTTCCCCATGCTTGATTTGTATATTACTGTATATAATAAAAGATGTCACATTGTATTTAAAGTTGGAGCTGACTTGAGTCCGTCTTGTTTTTCCCCAGATATCTTCAGTGATCTGTGTACAGCAGCACTCTCTGACTCGGATGACAACGAAGCCAGTACGTGGGGAGATGTGTCTCAGGACAGCAGATAAACATGGCTGACTTTTGTTGATCACGTTGGACTAAAAACATTTTCGTTGGATCACAAAGAGAATTTTTCAACTGTAATTTCCTAAACTGGACTTTTAATATCAACGAATATTAGCTTTCTACTTGTAGGTCCTCATTAGGACTACAAATATGGCCTGTTAATGTTTTTCAACTATAGTTTTTCATGACTGACACATTGAAGCTTCTCAGTGAAGCCTCTGGAAAAAGCTGGAATCTTAAGGCTGATTGCCACAGTGGGAAAAGCCATATAAGACTTTTGATTGAAGGGAGTCCCAGCTGTCATCGGTCAGTGGAGAACTGAAGACTGCATGGATGTGGACAGTGAACTTTACATCCAAAGTCGGATGAATTTAGAATATGTACTGTAGAAAATACTCTTCCAGAGTGGTTGGGCTGAATACCGGAAAACTCAACTCCCTTTTCTGACTTGGATAACTTGGGGAAAGGGATAAATTCCATGTGCTTGGTTGTGAGCAGGTTGTGATCAGGCCCTGCTTTGCTGCGCTGAAGTAAAACTCTTTGAGACCAGGTTCTGCCTCTGCTGCCCCGCTGCAGCCACTTGGACTTTTCAGGTTCAAACTACAGACACTTCCCAGTAGCTGCTGCCTCCTGGGGAACCTACAAGTTGTCTTACTTGCCTTTATTGGCCCCGCATGATATCATTACATTAAATCAGATGCATTATCACAACATGCCCGTTTTCAGAACCTGTAGACTTGCAAATTATCTGTGTAAATTGCGGTTGAGAGATATCTCCCTTTCATATTTTAATCTATAACTCAAAAATATATTTTACATATGGTTTAATCTCTCTGGAAATAACTTGAATTATGTCCTCACAGATGTTACACACATGCAATGTCTTGTTTTGGACAGAAACCTTTTAATATATGTGTTTTATGGGTTAGAGATCCTCTCATGCTGGGCATCAATGAACAGTCACAGGTTGTGTCAATTTTGGCGAAGTGGTCGAACAGAACAGTTTCTGGGAGGGGGTCTAAGATGTGCTTCCCGTGACAGAATACTTATTATATTTGCTATAATGCATGGATGAATATTCATATATAGCAAACACAACAATATAGATCCTATAGGAATGTAACACTGATACTTTCTGCATCCGCAGTGGGCTAGGGTTTGCTCAGATGTGACATGAATTTCCTCATCAGAGGGTGTACGCATTGCGGACTTGTCCAGACTTGTCCATACGGCTACTATGCTAAAAGTGGTAGCGTAGCGGTCTGCTGCCCTGATGTGGCACGCGGCCTCCAAGCGAACAGTATAAGCAGAACTGCTCTCCATTTGTGGTGTCCGGAGTATAAACGAGGCTCAACTCTTCTTCTAGCGTTTGGCCTTCACCAACTTTTGAGAAATATATCTGAGTATATTTTCTGTGTCCAGACCAGCTAGTGGCTACATTTGTAAGGCAAGCAAGGTACTGTGTGCAGCTTGTGTAGGGTCGCTTGTTTACCCGAACCAGCTTCCTGCTGTGTCCAGAAACAAGGCTGACGACTCACAAAAAGTTAGTGCAGGACGTATAACCTCCAGAAAAAGCTAAAAGAGGGCATAAAGATTCATAGAGCTGAGCATAACTACAGAGTTGAGTGACAATTCTTTGTTGTTTTGTCATTACAAGCCACACCTTTCACATTACACAAAGTCCTTTGACTCATTGTTCATTTACAATGTGAATTGATTGGTGCAGCTTTAAGAAAACAGGGGTCAGGGGTGCAACCATTGAAAAAATCTAATTCTAAAATAATTTCCTTTATCAGCTAAGTTATTTTCCAGCACAGAATTCATTTGAGAAATCAATCATAATGTGTTTATTCTTTATACATGCAAAGTGAATAGCAGACAGAAGAAGCCAAATGGTGTCTGATGGAAATGAAGCAGAGATGTGCTGCACTAATGCTTCATTACTGCAGCACATCTCTTCTTTAGATGAATGGGCTTCAGGAAACAGATTTATCTCTGTGACATGTTATGCTATTTGGACTCATCTCTACAATGGGATTTTTACTAGCAGGCTTTCTGAGAACGTGTCACACTCTTTGAGTCGCCGCATGCCAGCTGCTACGGTATCTCCGGGCCGGTCATATTCAGGCATTGTGTTTCTGATTTGTGTGCATGAAAACACTTCATGTACAATAACTCAGAACCTCTTCTGCATATTTGTGTTATGCACACAACTGCCCTGTAACATGAGTATTAATGTGATATCTCATTAGAAAGCTACGGTTCTTGTAATTCGATTTATGCAAACCATTTCAAGATACAATAACAACAGCAGGTACAGTTAACGTCTCTGTCAAACAAGCACTCCAAAAATAGCTGATAAAATATCGCTGTGACTCACCGATTATGATCCATAACGTCCCCCTTGTGCATGCTAGTCCAGCAAAAACGGTCTTGCTAGGTGGCTAAGGGTCCACTCGATCGAATCCAGTAAAAGATTTAGTCCAAAACACATTAGTACGTTCATTAAGACCCACGGGGGGCTGTTGCATCATTTCAAATTAGCCAGCAGATATGATAACTCCGATCATATTTCGGGCATAACTTCACGTTCCCTGTCAACAGAGCTGAGATTTTCATCACAAAATGGAGGCTGCATTCCGCCGGTTAGATTGACACCTCATTTGACCCAATAGGAGCTTCTATAGCCCGGCCACAGTCTGGAACAGCCAACGAGAGTCCGCTTTGAAAGACAATGCCCGCCTCACTTCTTTGGGTATAGCTCGAGCCAATCGCAACAGATCCTGTTCAAACTCAGGCTCCACATAGCCAATGAAATTACAAAGCCAGGGATATGCAGATTTATCAGATTGAATGCTGGGAAAGTTTTCTAACCTGAACTGGAAACCATGAGTCAAGTTCCTGGGACAGAGTGTGAAGACTAAAGTCTGGTTCATGAGAATTTTCATGAATCTGTGAAAGTTGATAATGGCTAAATATGATGTAGTTAACCATACATTGACATAAATAAACTATAGTTTGAATTTCGGCCAGGTAGTTTATCGTAGTACATGCATTTAGACGTGGTAACACGAACCTCCAAATGAGTTTTTACGCGGCTGCACTCTTAGTAAGCCACGTGTAAAATATTAATTTTTTTTCGTGTTGTTATCAAATTTTAACTTATACTAGGTGTCATGACTGTTGGCTGTCGAAGGAGAGTCTTTTCAAGACTGTAAGTCCCAGCCATAGATAGCTGCTGCCATCTGTTGGCCAAAACAAATCTAGGCGGAAATAAAATGCTTCTCTTTCACTGTGCTGAAAACGCATTAGCTCAATGCCAGTAGCACTTACGGTGATTCTGACTGATTGTGAAGAAACTTCAGAGTGTTGCCGTTCAATAAAGACTAAAACCATACACGTACTCCCAATGGTTCAATAAGAGCTGTCAGTTTACTTTGGGTACGCGGTTGATAGGCGTTTTAGGCAAATTATGCAGGAGTGAGAAGAGGTTTGCTAACCAGGCGATCAGAAATCTAGATATGAGTAAGCTCATTTACACTGGCTTAGACTAGCAGTGTTCAGACTCATGCTTGACACCAGACTGATTGTAGAATCTGAGCACCGGGTCGTTTTGATCAGCTTAGCAACAGTGCTGTAAACCGGTGGTTTTACCGAGATATTAGCATTTGTTAGCAATTTATGAGCGTCACTACAGTAAGTCGGATGGCTGAAATCAGCAAAGTAAAGTCAGAGAACTGGCTATTTGCTACAAGGGATTTATCAGGGAAATGTTTTTTTAGCAAGCAGCACTTGGGCTGTTTCCTAACATCAGCTGTATAGGTTTCACCTTCTCAGAGAGTACAATAGTGCTGTACACTGAGGGTTCATCCAAGGAGGACACTTTGGTCATTGTAAATAAAAGTCAGTGTTAAAATAATGTTGCATATTTTTTGGGGGTAGAGACCATTTTCTGAATGACTGCTGTATTGTGGGACACCATTCTCCCTTCAAGGCTTTTTGCAATTATCTGGCGTTTCTACTGACGGATGGAGTTCTGTGGACTGTTCACTGACAAATCTGTATCTGCAGATGGATGGAATGTCACGTCACAGGAAGGTTGATTCACATTTACTCTGTAACGCGTTGGAAATGGAAAGAAAAAAAAGGATATCAAAAGGCTGAATATTCACCTGTATATATGAATACATGATGACTGAACACATGTCAGAGTGTAATGCTGAGTTACTCTGTGAGAAAACTACAGTAAGTAACGGATCAGTCTTTTAAAACAAATCAGCTTTGATAAGCAATTAGAAATTGAATGGATGATGCATAGACGGATATGTATATGGATGGATGGATGGATGATGCAGTGATGGATAGGTGCAATAGCTGGATGGTTGGACAGATAGACCAACAGATAGATAGTTTGACTGTAAATGGGTTACCAACTGTTACAGAAGGCAGAACTCTGTTAAAAGTCATATACATTAATATTAGTCTGATTGTGAAGAAATACGCTCCTCTTGACATGCTGTACATTTTGCTTATCCTATGCTAAATGAAAAATAGTGTATCTTTGTAAAGAAATATTTCTGTTGTACTGCATTCTGCTGTAAGCATATTATAGAATGTATCAAGTCTGTATATTGTACAATCTGCTATTGTAATGTACATATTGATTTATTATGATAAGGCATTTACGATATGAATTTTGTCACCTTGTTTTTTTTTGTATTTTAGTCATAATCCATTATTTCAAACTTAATAATGCATGCAAGACTGAGATTTGATACAGAGAGGTGCTTGATTTAAAATAAAGACCGCATTTCTTATAGACCGTGTTACATCCTGTTGAAAAAGGAATGTTCTTCCACAGATATACATTATCTAAGCGAGCTAACCAGATAAAATGATGATGTTATTAAAAGAAAAGTGTCACAATAATAACATGTCAAAATATGCTAAGTCACAAAATATTTACTTATGGAATGTATTATGTTTACAATATTCTTACTTAT